AAAATTAACAGAGAAATTAGAACCAGACATCTATCAAATAGACACATGATACGGGAACCGCATAAACTTTCACTGGCTTATGTGATTATTTGCCGCAGAAATACCAACATACAAATTACACACCGGTGTGTATTATTATGTACTAAATAAACACACATCACATCTTTCCAGGGTTCCGTCCGTCGGAATGAAAAACTGTCCGTGTGGTAAAGGATTAAGAATACGGAGTGTTATCACCCCTATTCCTACAGTGTAAGTAGCAGCTTTATAACTTTTTATACAATGGACACAAAAACCAATTAACAATTAATGGTAATGGTTAAGAGCTCTGGATTCGCATAGACTGTTAGACGGTTGATTTTGCATTCGGATAAGGCTTACTGACTGAGCCAGAATAGCTTTTCCCAGGAGCAAGCCTCCTGGGCTTCTACTAATACTTACCTATCCATTGTGTTACCACTCCCTCGCACTTCAGGATAACGTGTGTGGTTACCTGCTAGACACATCCACTGCAAAGTGGGCTGTCTGTAGTACCTAAAAAATTTTGTTTCAGTAACACACTTTTTTTCACATGTAGCAATGGTAATCGCAATGGTGAGAAGACTAAGTATTTTTACCATTTTGATGTCCGTAGAGTAAACTCAGTCGGTTTTGACTACAAAAATAATAATAATAATAATTACTTCACACATCTCACACTCGGCTGTCTGATCCCAAACTAGGCAGAGCCTGTGCTATGGTAACCAGACTGCTGATAAACATACATATATATTACAAAATACACAAATATTGTAGATAAATTACACCTAGACACAGAACAAACGATCGTGCTCATCACACAAATAGTTGTGGTGGGAATCGAACCCACAACCTACATGACTTCTTGTTACGTATACATACATCAACATAGCAAGTCTTGTCATAATGTTTACCTAATTTTCTCTATAAAACTCTTGATTATAGATATCTAATTTCTTCCGCTCCTCCGCTCCATGGCGGAAACAAAATTTATCAAATTGAATAACTTTATCTTTGAAATAACTGAAGCAATTTGTCACCGTCGCTCCGGCACAGTGGGCTGAAAAATCTTATTGTATGCACACATCACATCAACAGCCTTTAATAGTCTACTGCTGGACATAGGCCTCTCCTTAGAAAGGAGGTTTTGGCCTATTAGGCCTCAGAACAGAAAGGAGAGGTGCCGAACCCCAGAACAGAAAGGAAAGGCCTATGTACCACGCTGGCCAGACGGGTTGGTATAGGGTTTGTTTCAAGTTTTCCATCTCTTTGCAGTGTTGTTGTCCTGCGTAGTTTGCTCCCTTAGTCGGCTCTTACGGCACCCACGGGATGAATAGGGGTGGTGACATTCCGTATTCTTAATCCGTCACCACACGGACAATTGTATGCACGAGAAAACGAAATTGTAAAATTTTGTCTTTTTGCTTAAAATCGGTGTGAAATCATTAGTAATATAAGGATCTCTGATAATATGTTGTGAATTTTACCATCAATTGCTTTTTTCCTTTTATTTAAATGACCTATGGTCTAATATTAAGTTCTCAAAGTACCTACCTAAAGGTGCCGTATCGATTACAAGGACAAAAACCAAAAATTTCTACTTACTTATTTTGGCTTTTAAGTAGTTAAGTTTATGAAATACGATAATGTCCCACTGTGCGGCGTCTCGCTGTATTAACTACTTATTACAAATACAAAACCACATAAATTACTCCTCAATCTCAGTGGCTGCGGGCATGTCTAAGCGAATATGGCATAGGCCACTCTTTAGAAAGGAGGTTTAGGTCTACTATACCACGCTGGCCAGACGTGTTGGTATAGGGTTTCTTTCAGGTTTTCCTTCTATTTGCAGTGCTGCTTTCCTACGTACTTTGCTCCCTTGGTCGGTGACATTCTGTATTCTTAATCCGTCACCACACGGACGACCTCAGCCACCCAAAGTATATCGAAACGAAATTCACATCTAAGGGTTTAAAATTAAGGGATGATTTACACTATTTTCATAATTTCGACATCATGACGGGACAAAAAGCCTTAAAAGAATGAAGGTAGGAAGAGCATATGCCTACGAACTTGATACAGCTTATACTGGCTATTAGGAATAAACAAATTTCAAAATATTGAAATAGGAGTGAAGTAGTCTTGGGTAGTACACGTACGATGTACTGATAGGTACTAGTACTGGGTATTGTACTAAAAGTAATGTTTCCGAAAGGCAGCTGTTAATCGGACATTTTGCACTATTAGTACACCGTGTCAACTTCAAGCCAGTACTAAAACTATCTATTGTTTACTCTGTCTACTAGTGTCTACGTTCGTTCGCTGTGCGACGTACTATTAATGCTCCGCTTTATTGTTCTGTATTGGTAAACTTACTACAATACGTTGGGTTGTAAAGTATGAAGGAAAATCAAATAGTATGCTTAAAAATTTAGTGTAAAGTAATCTAAAAAATCGTATTTAAAAGTCAAACTGTTAGGGTTTGTGGGATTCAGAAAGAGATAACACATTGAAAATAATCAAGAACTGTGTAATTATTTCTATACTGAAGAAAAGTAACTGCCTAATACAAAGCCATCTATATTAAAAAAAAACTATAACACTTTTTTTTTAATTACGTATTTTAATTTATTTAATTATTAGTATTCCGTTTCATTAATGTTGGTAATATCAATACAAACTCTTAAGTTTTCTACTTCTACTAAAACTGTACTAATAGTACTATTACGGTGTGCTAGTACGTTGTACGAATTGTACTAGTACGGTGCGAACCTGCAGATGTCCGATTAAGCACAAGACTAGAATAAGCAAATTTCAAAAGATTGAAATAGGAGTGAAATGAACACACCGTGAAGCCTCGGTGTTAAAACTTCAAGAATCTTCGGACGAGAGAAATGAAACTTTGAGCAGCTCAGTAAATCAATCCAATATACATCTTCTTCACATTTAGGTATCGACTGACAGAAGAAAAATATAGGCCCGCTTATATAATAAAACCCAAAAACCAAAAATAGAGAGATTCAGCCGGACTGCACAACGCCATCTATCGAGCGCTTGGACAACTTTACTTTTAAAAACCGAGCACTCGGTGAATTGTATAAATTATAGAATAGTCTTATTTTTAGCTATTTTATTTATGATGAGTCTTTAATAGTTTATTTGGCTTCTCAGTAATACAGATTTTTTATTTAAAATGTTGGTAGCAACTTCTTCCTTTCTCAGAGCCTTTTTTCAAACTATATTGGGGTTGGCTTTAATTCTACCACTATACGGCTGAACTTCGATTTTTTACCCAGAGCGACTGCCATCAAACTTTCACAACCTTAGTAGGCGATATCGAAGTTCTGTAAAAAGACGGTTTGGGCTCCTACAGGTAACGAATTGGTAACAACTGTTGTAATTATTATTGTACATTTTGTTATTATTGTACAGTTACATGTTAGAGGGGGCAGACGAGCAGACGAATCACCTGATAAAAAGTGACAATGAACCCATGAACTCAGGAGTCACAAACGCGTTGCCGACCTTTTAGGAAGGAGTAAGCTCTTTTCTTGAAGGTTTGAAGGTCGTATCGGTCGGGAAATACCGCAGATGATAACCCGTTCCACAGATTGGTTGTGAGGGGCAAAAAGTGTCTCGAAAAGCGCACAGTAGTGGAGCGCCAACTATCCAGGTGATGAGGATGAAAATGTTGCCGAGTGGAACGATGGCGGAAAGTTGCGGCTGGTATTAGCCCGAACAATTCCTCGGAGCACTCTCCATGAGATATGCGATAGAGAATGCATAGATTCGGACTGCACGGATGGCGTAGTGGTTTAAGCGGTTGCCACGCCGCTTACTACTACGCTGAGTGTTGTGGGTCCGATCCCCACATGGGACGACACTTTGTGTGATTCACAAATTGTTGTTCTGAGTCTGGGTGTTATTTGTGTCCGTTTCATCTATGTTTTTAAAGTCCCAGCGACACCGGATTTATTCCTAGTGCGGGAGTTGTCTTATTTAAAGAACGAAGAAAAAAAGGAAAAAAGAATGAAACCACATTTCTACGAAATCCAAGGGATCGAGCCGGTCGCAAATCTTTTGGCTATCGACGATTCGAGTCGCTCTTATTTGGATGCGGTCCAGATGGAGAAGCTGGTACTGTGGTGCCCCTGCATAGAGATGAGAACAGTATTCATAAATATATTTATTACTCTGTTAAAACTGACAGGTCAAAGGTACTAATAATTAAATAAAACAGACTTAATTTTACTCTACATTGTTTATTATGAATACTGCTTATATACATGTATATTTCTACATACAAGATACAACTATTCTGTACATGTGTTACTAAAGTCTACCTAAACCGCTGGACCAATTTTCATAACGTTTTTGTCATTTTAAGTTGATCCTGGGGTGACATAGATTTAAAAATTAATCAATGTTTCAACAAGACTTGTCTTATTCTTTAATAAAAGAATTAGAAACAATTTGAACCGAAATGGAACAGTGCAACTGGGTTTTTGGATCACTCTCTTTTTTAGTTTGATTGTTTTATCATCGAAATCCATAAAAAACATATGTTCTTTCCTGTCTGACAACATCTTTCCTGTCGGCACGTACATTTATATAAAAATATGGTATTATTTATGCTTTATCCTTAATGACTACTCTTACACTATCTCTCTTGCAGACACATAAATACACAGGTACACACATATACACAAGTATACATACACACACACACACACACACAAGTATACACACACATATATATACATATAAATACATGTACACACATATTCAGGCATACAGGGAGAGGTACACATTACCAAAATATTAGTATAAAAATTCTATGATACTTTCAATAGAAAGTGTGCTAGTTTATAAAATCCTATATAATCTACAGAACTGTAGAACCAGCTACATATACTAGTATGTTATAAGAGTTTAGAAACAACTCATTATGTTCATTAAGTGTTCACAAAGTATTATAGTACCTAGACCTGTTTATTTTTATTTAACACATCAATTTTAAGAGATATCACCTCCCCTGACGTATCTAAATCAATTTTAAGTTCTTTGGCACTATGTGGTTTTCTCACCCTCTTCAGTTCATCTTCTTTCAGCAGCTGTACCCCAGAACGTTCTTCCATTTTAGCAATATGCTTTATCCATTTTTCACTGTCTATGCTGTCATAACCATCATAGGTTAGTTCTTTATTTAACTCTTGAATTTCTTTCACATTTCTTCGAATTCGATCTTCAGCTTTCATTTGTTCTTTTATTTTTGCCAACTTCTCCATCTCTTTTGGCTTTTCTGTAAGCGAGGGTGGCGGGGTACAACTTGGACTGAGCAAACTGTCGTTCTGCATGGTCTTTTCTAATTCTATCCATTCGGCATATGATAATGTGGACTCTGATGTGACAGATGAACAGCCAGCACTATTTCTTACAACTTCTTCTGAGCAATCTATTTTATAAATATGGTAGTCCGTGATGCCAATAGGATACACACATTCAACGTTGCCACACATTAAAAATTTCTCATCAAAATGTATTTGATATAGTTTCAGTACCGATTTGCAGAGTGGACATGTCTGAAATACAAAGTATATAATACATTATAATGTTTGTAGACAACATACAGGCAGGATACACATACATAGGATATAAATATGTATATAAGGGGAATGTACAAGATCATGAATGCCTAAGGCATTTTCTGCCAGTCTGACTGAAACTGATTGGGCAATGCAGAGAAAGAGTGTGACGTAGGTAACCACCAGGTAACCACTGTTTCTTTGTACTGTTTGTTGGTCCTCTAGTCAACCTACCAGGTTAACCAGGTTCATGTATTGAGATATTAGTTAGAATTTCTGTTACTAATATGCAGCAACAATAAAGGAAGTAGTATTAAAATAGAATATGCTTCATTGTACACCGATTACAATATAATAGATGAATATTACTCTCAGCAGCAATCAATCAAAGCAATCTCTTACAGGCAATCTTTGGATAGACAAATTGACAGTAGATAATAAAAAGGAATGGGTGGTCTAAGCTACAGTAGTGTTAAAATAAATTTATAAATATAGGCATACATACACACACATACGTATATACACAATATATATTAAAAACTATAAAATATAATTAGTCATGTACAGCTATTGAAAGCAAAGAGTACTTTATGGCGATTTTTGACCACATTCTTAAATGCTGTTTCGATTTCGGCAAGGCGTTCCATAATTTGACAGCCTCCACCATGACAGATTAATCTAGTGTGGCTAGGTACCATTAGCTCCAAAGATTCCAAGGACCATAAGGATCTTAGATGTGTGTCACTGAGGAACACAAAATGTTCCTTTAAGCAAGGTGGGATAAATGGATTGAATAAGTAGTATAGGAAGGAGCAGGGATTCAGCTAGCGCTATTTTTGTGACCGTTGGTAGAAAGTTGCGGTCTTCATTTTCCGAAAGTGAGCCTGCTGATGCAAAACACTTTTCTACTGACTTCGCATAATTGGGGATTGCAAGATAAAATACTATCAATCAGAATTCCTAAGTTCTTAACACATTGACTAATCGAGAGTATTAGCTAATTCAGACCAGTCAATTTTAGACTGCCCACAACAATGACTATGGTCTTTCATGGCTAAACATACTGGCCGCTCCATTCGGACACCTGCACCAAAATTTTCTCTGTTTAGTGGTTTACTTCCCAATGAAATTACAACAAAAAATTCTGGCTCGTTTTGATTTTCTCTTGCTAAACAGTAAACTAAATTATGTTAAAAAAAAAATCTTACCATTGGTCTAAAGTTTTCAGCTTCTCTGGTGTCTGCATGAATCTAAATACAATAAACAAAACAAAATTAACATTTAAAATTTTATAAAACTTTTGGCAATGTATTATGGGCAAATGAAAACACGGTCTTAGTACAAAGTACATATGATTTTAATTAACTATAGAAATAGATACTAATTACGCATCCCACAAGTGTTATGTGTTATCCCCATGTATCCCACGATGGACCAAGCACTCGCATGGTGAATCCATGGAGGGCTAAGAAATAGGTATTTTCTATAACAAGGTTACTTTTTAATAAAACAGAATGTGTATACTTACTACGATATTACATTGAGGTAACACGTTCTGTTGACAGACTTCCATTTAGTATTCAGGCGGATATCTTTGTTGTCAACCTGTTTAACGAAAAAATTAAAGTAACATCATTTCATCAATTGGTAGGTTACAAATTCAATGTTATACTTACAATAACTGAAACTGCAAAATAATCCTACATTTAGTTTCACTATCAATTTAATTAATGTAAACTTAGTGGCGAGATTTCGGAATCTAAATCCCCAAAATAAACATCGTAAATTAATAAGTTTATAATAACCTATCAAGTGGACATCACCATGGTAGTTAAAATCAATACATTGGAAAGATATTATTTACAAAACAATTAACCATTAGAACATTGCTCCGGAGCAAAAACAACAGGAGAATCTCCAGAGATTTTCAAATTTAGAAAAACCGATTCCGCAATGAACTTAAGATCTCTTCTATTTATACAGAATAATACTGTTACTTAAATAAAAATACTCATCAGATTAACTATGTATATACATCATTTACTTACTGATTATTCGAATGACTTTTTGTTGGTGTGGTACAATTATTTTTCTGTGTATTATTTGTACATAAACAACACATGAACACCACCAAACACCACAACACTGACTTTGTGCATGCTGCACATAGTGATGTGATGCACGATATTTCGATGATGCGATGACATTATAAAAATCGATTCAAAATTTCGATGCACAACAACGAAATATTGCTGAAATACTAAATTGCCAACATAGAAACGTCTCTGATATGAAATTATAATATCGAAGAAAGTTTATATACATATATTTCACACACTCCGAACTGCGAGATGTTTACCGAGTGCCAGGGAAAAAAGGTTCTACTAGGCCCATAATCTGCGAATTTACATCTGTCAATTTAAAGCACCAGGTACTTGATGCTGTACGCACGTTCAATAAAGACCGTCCCCTTAATGAAAAACTTAATACTGAATGTGTCGGAATAGGTGGTCCCCGTGGCCCTATTTTTGTCGCCGAACACCTGCTTGGAACTCAAAGACAGTTATTCTACGAAGCACGTAACTTCGCTAGAAATAATAATTACAAGTTCTGCTGGACACGAAACGGTCGGCTATTTCTGCGGGAGAAAGAGGGTACTGAAGCTATACCAATCAAAACATCGTTATGCCTTAAGAAACTACTCAAACCACAGCGTGACTAATATCTCTGATTCTGTTCGGACTATTTTTGTTATTAACCTTTTGATACTTACAAATAGATTAATTAATTCACTTCTTACCTACAGACCCGTTCTTAAAACTATACGACTATACCACTACTACTGTCGTCACCTCAATTCACACTATACAAATAAACAATTACATTTAAATCAACCTCATAAATTTCACACCATACATATTTCATTAATTATTTATCCACACAAAATACATATTTACAAAAAAATTACAAGAATGGAAAATTGGAACATATGCTTGCTATATACAGACGGCTACTGGGTGATATTGGAAGGACTAACACTACTTGGGTCACTTGCTTGGCACATTCTCTACGTGATTTTAAATCGCTATAATGCTTGATTTAAATCCTTTATCTGATGAAATTGATATTTTTGGGGCATCTGAGTCTTTCAAATGGAAAGCAGAACAATGCGTAGATATAGTAAACAGCAGCCATAATTCAATAAAAATATTACACATCAACATACGCAGCGTGAATCAAAACTTTGATGAGCTTTTAGTTTTTCTGCATACGATAAAAGCACGCCCGGATATAATAGTCCTATCCGAGTGTTGGCTTAGTAAAGTTTCGAATATGCCAAAAATTGAAGGCTATGTAACATATAACACAAATAATAACCAGAATCAAAATGCCGGCCTTATTCTCTTTGTTACATCAACTCTTTTACACACCATTACTGAACCATCCGTACATGGCTCAAATTGCTTAATATGTGAAATAGAACCAGCGAAACTGGTTATAGTTGCTTTATATCGCTCTCCCTGTTCCCGTTCTGTTGATGCTTTTCTCGACTCTCTTAACAACACCCTTACATCCGTGTCTGGTTATGAAAATATTCTCCTTATAGGAGATATTAATATAAATATCATGCCCACAAAAATAAATCAACAAGCTAGTGCGTACCTAAATCTTACAGCCTCGCATGGTCTATTGCCGACGCATAATTACCCTACGCGAGAGAATAACTGCCTTGATCACACCCTATTAAAATCGCATCTAAAACCAGTAACACTAATCTTTGATACCTGTATAACTGATCACTACCCTATTCTTATACAACTTGAGCCTAAAATAAACAAATTTAGAAGCCATGGACTATACACAAAGGTGGACTTTACAACAGTTTATGAGGTTATCTCTAATACTGATTTTGGACCAGTCATGGCCACATTTGACCCTAACTTAGCTGCAGATAATTTTGTGACAATTATTAGTTCAGTGATCAATACACATACTGTAACAAAGCACGTCCCTTCCAAACATAGAAAATTCAAACCGTGGATAACTATAGGACTGTTACGCTGTATCCGAAATCGGGACTCAATGTGTCGAAAGTTAAAAAACGACCCCGAAAATTTATACCTTAAACTGACTTACCTACGATATCGTAACTTCTGCAATAAATTACTAAAAAGAATAAAACATGCCTATGAGAAATGCGAGTTTTTGAAAGCAGGTAATAACCCAAAATCAATTTGGAAAGTCATAAAAAATATTACTCATACAAATTGTTCAAAGGGCTCCCCGAGAGAACTGCTTAGTGTAGATGCTAGTGCAGTAGCATCTGTAAACAAAGTCAATGAGTATTTTTCAAGTATTGGCAGGAATTTGGCACTCAACTTCAGCTCCAAACCATGTAGTGATAATGCTACGCCAACTGATAGTACTTCATACAATTCCCTTGTTTTGCTACCCACGGATGATGTTGAAGTTAATAGAATTATCCGAGGTTTACGACCAAATAGTGCTGTAGGTTGGGATGAAATTCCAACCAAATTACTGCAAAAGTGTGCGACCACACTTGTTCCCGTCATCACGCATATTTGTAACTAGCTGACCGGCGCAACTTCGTCTGCGTCTCTCAATAGTAATAAATTTTCTCCGTTTTTGAAACATTCTTTATTGGTGCTCCGCTCCTATTGGTCTTAGCGTGATGATATATAGCCTATAGCCTTCCTCGATAAATGGGCTATCTAACACTGAAAGAATTTTTCAAATCGGACCAGTAGTTCCTGAGATTATCGCGTTCAAACAAACAAACAAACAAACAAACAAACAAACTCTTCAGCTTTATAATATTAGTATAGATATATCCATGTATAGCGGTGTATTCCCTAGAACGTTTAAAAAGGCAATAGTTCATCCCATTCATAAGGGCGGTGGTAGAGAGAATGTCAATAACTACAGGCCTATATCTATATTACCTGCACTGTCAAAAATCCTCGAGAAGCTACTTAACACTCGCCTTACTGACTTCCTAAATAGAAATCATATTATTGCCCCAAACCAGTTCGGATTCAGAAATGGTAAGTCAACGAAGGACGCAGTAGCATCTCTTGTTGACCAAATAATCGACAGTCTAGATTCCGGTCAAAAATGTCTAGGTATTTTCCTAGATATAAAAAAAGCTTTTGACACTGTCTCTACTTCACACCTTCTATCGAGGATGGAGAGCTACGGAATACGCGGATATGCTCTGCGCATTTTTTCTGATTATCTATCTGAACGAACCCAATGCGTTAAGATTGATTCCCACACTAGTGATAGTGCGTCGCTAGATTTTGGTGTACCTCAGGGATCAGTACTCGGCCCCACACTCTTTCTACTTTATATAAACTCATTGTGCAAGCTTTCCATTCCTAACTGCAGTATAGTCACTTATGCGGATGACACTGCGTTGCTCGTCCGTGGCAGAAACTGGCGTGATGCCTTTAACTTCGCTGAGCTGTCTCTCGGGCAAGTAATGCAGTGGCTTGATGGAAACTTTTTGACACTTAACCTTGACAAAACCACCTACTTAACGTTCTCAACTTCAAGTATAACTCAACCCTCTCTAGACGACTATTACCTTAAAGCACATATCTGCAACTCTAAAAACGAAAACACTTCTTGTGACTGTATGTTTATAAACAGAACTAACCAAGTGAAATATTTAGGTGTTATTATTGATAATTTACTTAACTGGAAATGTCATTTAGGTAATTTAACATCACGAGTACGTAAAATTATATATATTTTTAACAAATTGCGTCACTCTGCAGACATGGATATTCTTAGGACAGTCTACTTCTCTGTGGCCCAATCAATAATAGGCTACTGTATAGGAGTGTGGGGTGGAGCGGCTAAGACGCATGTCTTGCCTTTGGAACGTGCTCAGAGGGCTGTTCTAAAGGTAATGACCTTTAGGCCTTTTGGGTACTCTACCTCCCAACTATACAGCGACTGTAAAGTACTTTCTGTTCGACAGCTGTTCGTACTTGAAACAGTCACTAGAAAACATGCTTCACTTGTTTTTAACCCAAACTTCACCAACAAACGTCGCTCGTATAAAGTTTGTCAAAATAAAAAATGGAAAACCTCAATAGCATCCAGGCATTATGGCGTGCTTAGCAGTCATTTATATAACACAGTAAATAGATACTGCAACATATATACACTGCTCAGATCTGAATGCAAGAAGAAAGTATCCGATTGGCTTATGCTCAAATCATATGAGGAAACTGAGGGTCTTCTTAAAATATCCATTCTCTAATCTTACTTTTAATAAAGCTATGCACACAGACACACACACAAACACACACACACACACACACACACAGACTCACACACACACATCATATACATACATACACACACATGATATATGAATTTTTGTATTTGTTCACGTTATTTGAAAATTTGAACGTTTTCTTGTAAAATAATAAAATGTAAATGTACGAATTAACGCTACTAGAATGTTATTTATTTGCTGTGCCTGATACCCATAACACAAGTTAGATCTTACTATGGGTATCAGTGTTCCAAAACACTGTCTGTTTCTCAGTTTTGTATAACTACTTTCATGTATGTATTTGTTGTAACTTTGGAAAATAAATATTTACTTTACTTTACTTTACTTTATTTCAAATGCTTCCAAGAATATATTAAAAAATTTTGTTATTTTTATGCAGTCGAATTAAACATCGATTTTAAGATCGATCACGATCACCCTGACTGCACTGATAAATGAAGTAAGTATGACCATGTGCTAAAATATTCTACCAGTAGAGAAAATAAATGGTTGACTTTTAGATTACTCAATGACAATTTTTTTGACCAATATGGCATATTTTGTTCACTCTTTCTAATACTTGGTATATTTTAATTATTGTATGCCCAGGGGCCACGGCATGGCCTAAGACGGCCTTGATTTTAATTCTAAAATTTTTAGGCAATGCTTGCCTGATTGTAACCAGTTGTAACTCCAAATTACTTAATTATTGAGTCTAATTCTAAATATAATGTCAATAGTGAAGTTATTAAATATATAAGGTTTTAGTAGCATCACTCTCTTATACTTTAAATTTAATTGATGTCTAAATAACCCCGATTTCGTCACTGACTCATTGAAAATCATTAAAATTCTTAGGATACTTTCTGAAGTTCTAGAATTGTGTGGAAAAAATTGGAATAAAAGCTAGTATTAGTGGTATTAGTACGCCAACCACAATTCATAAAACTTGGATATTTTAGTCGCCCCCAAGTTTGTATGAGGCTTCCTCAAATTTTGATGCTAGAGGTCTGAAAATTAATATAATAAGGACTAAGGTATGTGAGCTAGTAAAAGTATACAAACAACAAAAAAAATATGTTATAGTCTCTTCTTGGCCACATTTTACATAAAAATGTTTTTGGTGAAATAGATTATTTACACATTTTACTAATTAATATCTAACTATATAGTTTTATTCCCAATGAAAATTAGAAAAAAAAACAATTTAAATTATTTGTTGAGTAGAATCTGTAATTTGGACATGGTCATACTGATCCAACTTTCCGGCTATCGCTTGCGTCAACTCATCAATAACTACGATTTGTGTCTGTCCAAGTGGAATCTATCTAGTGTCACAACTCATTAGTGTGTTGACCGGTGTTAACATCATCGTTTAATAATATCTGTGCAAACAGTGGTTTTCATTCATTTAATTTTGGTCCAACTAATAAAATAAAATGCCTAAAGCGGTGTGTGTTATCAAAGGAGACGTCACAGGCACAGTTTTCTTCGAGCAGAAGGTTATTTTGTTTTTACTTTAGCTATCAATTACGTATCAATTTTCCACGTGACCTTGAGTAACTAATAGGTTACTTGTTAGATAGAAAATGTCGTGAAATTAAACTAGTTATGTACCTTAAACAGAATACTTGCATGCCGGTAGAATCATGACATAACCAAATGTATATTACGTTTACTAAGTACCTACGTAAATGGTCTCTGAATCTATTGGGATTAGTTCTAAAATTTAACTTTACCCTGTATTTGTGTTAAATAATGTATTCGTCTAATGTTTTACAGTCTGCTTTTGTCTTGATGACTGAAAATAAAACTTTATGTACAGTCTTTCGTTTTTTCACTACTGAAAGTAAATGAGAGTAAGAACGGAGTCGAGAACTGCGAGTGTCTACTTAATATATACTTAATAATAATAATAATATTAATATTGATTACAAAGTTCTTACTATGTATTAGAATTGCTTTAAAACCTTAGTAGGAATAATTATTCCTATTTCACAAAAAAATATTGAAAATTAGAACAAACATTTGTTATTGTTTTTTTTTTTAAATTAAATATTTGCATCACACAGATTTCTTGCAACACTTTGTAATGGTTTTGGCGGGATTCTAAGAATTTAACCATAAAGAAAAACAATAAACACAAAAAACATAGACAAATATTTTTTTAATCATGCTAAAGGAGAATAATATTTCTTATCTCAAGTACCCATCTACAGATATCATGTTTTCTGCTTTTTTAAATCTATTAGAGATTTACTTATAATGTTTTCTTTTCTTTTTAGGATAACAAATCGCCTGTAGTTGTGACTGGTGAAGTTGCAGGACTCAAAAAGGTGTGTATACATTTACTAAATAATCTCTGTCTCTAAAACTAATTCTTAATAAAATTAGCACTAATTTTTTTTACTTAAGTTTCAAAAGTCAGATAAGGTAAAATGTTCAGTCGTAAACGCAAGAAAGCAAATGTGGCGTGGTGTGAAAAAAAAAAAACTATTCTGATTTGGCCCATCCCATCTTTTTTCTGTTAGAATGAGGTGTTGATGTTATTTATTTTTATGTTATTTTTCTCAAATGCATTTTGTTCTCTATATTTCTAGTCGTAATTAATAGTATTTCTTAATTCAAGTATATGGATCCAGTAAATGTTTTGACCTGACAGGTCACGAGCTCAGAATCGTATCCCGAATTACCCTTCATCCGTAGTCGGTTCTACAAATTATAGTTCACCGAAAACACCCTACGTGAATAAAACTGTTGCAGGTTCCACTATGACATCCTTCATCCATGTTAGCTTTTAATCTAAAATGGCATTTCATTGAAAAACTAATTAAAATATGCAAAACTTTAAATTACATAAGAAGAAACAGTTATTATAGAGCTGTTCCTCCGTAGGCTCAGACTAATTTATGTGAAGATTTCGAAATCAGTGTGTTTCTGTTCCTTAGCCATCTCCTTGATAGTCTTATAAAATACTGTTAAATTTTTTCCTATGTATGTTGGTGTTTCTGAGCAGGATTCTAAGACATTCTGTGTATTGCGAACATGTACGATAAAAAACGGACTTCATACATACATAAAATAATAACAAAACATATTATTCATTAATAACAACGCGTATTTAAAATCATGTTCCGTCCACAATTATCAAGACTTGTTTTTAAAATTTGAACAGTTCATCAATGAAGGGTAATTCGAAATACGATTCTGAGCTCACAGGTCACATTTGACCTAACCTACAGAAACGTGCAACAACCTTGTAAGGACTTTTATGGAATTGTTTATATTTTTTAAGCCTGTACAAACCGCAATTTATCTGTACTGTGTATTTTTGTGCGGTGCTTATCAGTTTTCTTATCCAAATTTCATTGTTGATAAACGTAAATATTATAAACTTGCTCAGTTAAAATTATCAAACACAGGTTAACATATTAAATTGAAGATTTTTGTAAAGCTAAAAATGCAAGCTATCTAATTGAATTATCAAGTAGCAATTGACTTAGTAGTTAGCACTGTGTCAGGTTATGTAATCTGTGATGTTATACCATGTACATCTACAATTCAAATGCCTTAAAACTGTTAACCTGTCAGTGCAGTGACGGATTAAGAATACGGAATGTCGATACCCCAATTCATCCTGTGGGTGTCGTAAAAGCCGACAAAGGGCGCAAAACAACGCAGGACACCAGCACTGCAAAAAGAAGGAATACTTGACACAAACCCTATACCAACCCATCTGGCCAGTGTGGCATAGTAGGCCAAAACCTCTTTTCTAATGAGAGGCTTATGTCCAGCAGTGGACTATTAAAGGCTGTTGATGTGAAAACTGTAAACATTTATTTATGTGACAGGTTATTATTATAAAAGCGGTAAAGGAAACTTGCATACTATGAAATAGTTTTCCTTAAAATAATTATTTCCTTATGTAATAAACCATTCTAACATTATAAAGATATAATAGAATGTAAGCATGGTGTATTACAAATTAATAAAAACTTCAAAACTGGACATTATATATTATACTTCATAGGTAGGTATGTGAGGCACCTGTAATTATGGCATATATTAAACATACATAGTACCTACCTTTTTATTGTATTTAAATAAAACATCTTTATATTTTCCTAAATGTTAAATCTTATACTAGTTTTTTGTATCATATCATATGTCAAAAGTAGCTTATGTTACTCCTGATAATGCAGTTTTCTATTGGTGAAAGAATTTTTAAAATCGGTTTAGTGGTTTAGGTGTGAAAGCATAACAAACAAACTGACTTTCTCTGTCTTCAATAGGAAGAGTAGCAAAGAAACAGTCTTTCATTACTTTTAGATTCAAAGCTAAAAGTAATAAAAGACTGTTTGTTTGTTACTCTTTTACGCTTAATAACTCAACCACTAATCATGACAATTTCATTAAATTTGTCACCTGTACTGAAAAGGACATGGTGTACCTTTCATCCCCAAAAACAAAGTGCCCAAGGGATGAAGAGAAACATAACGTAGTTTCACAAAATTCAGAAAGTATAGAAAAATAAGTTTTTTTTGTAAATGTATCCTCGTAAACACTAACATATTGGATAACGTTTAACTACTGAATAATGATTTTTGACAACATTTTTGACTGATTTTAGACCATTGTCCATCCAACAATATACGCTTTTTGAACCCAGGTTTTATCCTCATTGTGTAACACACGACAAAACTAAGTTATAGTAACAAATAAAATTATGTACATGACTCGGCTATTTTGAGGTGGTTGGTGTGAATAAATATAAAATTAAAAACAGCTATTATCAGGCGTAAGAACAACAAGCCAAGGTCATGATCTATGACGCAATGTAATCAGTTACCTACAACGTCAATACATTTAAACAATTATCATATAGTTTTCGAAGAAGATATACATACAATGCTTTAACGTAATTACTTTTTACCTGTCTGCTCCAGAAAGAGGGTTATGCTTTCGAGTGTGTAAATTCATTGCCATGCTATCCGCCATAGACTTCCAAATATCACGTTGTGCTTAGGTTGTTTTCGCCTTTAATGTTGTACTGACTGCTTCCGCTAATCACGTGGTTTTGGTGGTGGTTTTTTTTTCGAATCTGAAACATGTGTTACCACCAGTGCTCTTGCACTAACTGCCCGTTCTATCTCGCTTCGTGCGATGATGTCAATAATCAGAACCTTTCGTTAATGGATTGCTCTAGTAATATTTTCTCAGCGGTGAGGTCCTTCGACTTCGCGCCGAGTTGTCAGCGATGACTGCTGCCTACAACCACGCCGCCAATTAACTAGTACTTCTACTTGTCCTTTTGGATCGTACTGAGTCTCGTGTTACAACACCTGTTTCTCATAGTCTGTGATTATTTCATCTCATTCTGTTATTCCATTGGATTTTCAAGAACCGTATTCGCTCTCATGCCTTCTGGGCTTGCATTACATGTAGTCCATCCATGTGTTAAGGTAAGCAGTGTGCGCGTGTACGATGCTGGTTCACTTGTGTAAGTTTATTAAGCACGCTCTATAATCTAAACGACTCTATAATCTAAAATCCATCAAACGATTTTGGGTTTCGAAGATGTCGTTAGAGCGACACTGGGTATATAAAAATTATAAAAATATTTTTGTTTATGATTTTCGGACATCTGACATACAACGACATCTAGTTTCAAACTAAGCAGAGCTTGTACTATGAAATCTTAATTGGCTGATAGAATACGTATATTATACCTACTTTTATTTTCGTAAATACATACATGTTATACATAGAAGACAGTGAATCACGCACTCGGGTTTTTTTTGTGTACTTATGTGTTGTGTGATCTACAAATTGTTTTTTCTGGTTGTTCTTTGTGTCCGTTTTATGTATGTTTGTCAAGTCCCCCACGACACAGGATTATATTCCTAGTGCGGGAGTTGTCTTTAAAAAAAAAGACTCCCACCACCAATGCACTCATGACTCCTTGAGTTGCAGGTGTTCATGAGCGGCAGTAGTCACTGTTGGACCCTCAAACATAAAATAAAAATTGAACTTAATAGCTATAATTTAATTTTGTTTTATGAATGTGATGAATGTGATACTGTAAGCTCAACCTCAAACTCAGACGAGAGCGTCTTTTATGTAGACTCTAAAGTCATAGATCAACACACACAATAGCCACAATATCTGTCTTGTCAAATAGTAAGCAAAATAAATATAATAAACATTAAACTTGTACAAACTCTATGATACCGCCGATCTATAACCGCCCGTTTCCAAGGGGATGAGCCTTGTGAGAATAAAGGGCAAATAAACTGCAATTCTGCAATGGCCGCTCTGCAATTTACAGATAGATACAATGGCATCATTAAATATACTACAACATTGTTTTCATGTGTGCCAGAATGTTCGTTATTAGGGACTAAAAGTTGAAAAGACAATAAAGAGAATACAAGGTTAAGAAAAAAAAAATCGAATAAAAGATAAAATGAAGTGAAACATAAAAAATAATAAAAAACACACTAGCCCACACCACATTTTTACTTAAGAAATAGCCTGTGCCAATTATTCCCTAGCATTTTTGTCTTCTATGTAATCCACAATTGAGTAATAGGCTCTCCGACACAATTCAAGTCAATTGAAGCTACTTTCGTAAAAGCCTCTAACCAACATAAATAATCGAGAATAATTTGATCTTTATATAGTTTACCACTTATGATTACACTAACTATTATTTTACTAGCTATTATACCATTTGTCTTTTCTTGTCTTGCGTGATTATTTCGTGTTTTTAATTTTGAAAATGACGAACTTCCATACGACCTTATTTTACCTCCCTAGGGGTGAAATTATTAAAAATCCTTTCTTGGTGGGTTATAATATAAAAAGCATCAGCAGCCATAATTGCGCGATTTTGGGCCAAGTAGCGGTTGCTATTGAGTCATTCAGTCCGGACAAGCAATGAAGTTTACTCAATCGCATAATTTCAGGGCAAACATGGATTCCACGTTCACGAGTTTGGGGACAACACGAATGGATGCACATCTGCTGGTCCCCACTTCAATCCCAAAGGTGCCGACCACGGCGCACCAGACGCACCTGTTCGTCACGTCGGTGATCTTGGCAATATCGAGGCTTCCCAAGACGATGGAGTGACAAAGGTATTTTACTCATCAATCTCAATCGGAAATCCAGAAACCGTCTTCCAATCTCGTATTTTTGTCATAAGTAATATGTTTGTTTGCTTTTCTTTATGGCATAAGTGGCAAACGAGTAGAACGGTCACCTGGATAATAAGTGACTACCATCACCCATGGACTCCTGAAACTCGAAGAGAAACGCCTTTTGGGTCAGTGCCCTTCTCCCTGGTTATTTCTATGGTTCTTAATATGGGATCTCTGAAACTACCTGTCAGATTTGAAAATTTCCTTTAACGGAGATAATTTCATAATAAGTGGAACTGCTTGGAAAACGAATAGTGGATCATATAAGTCGAAATATTAAGGAATTTCCTACGACTGCAGTCAGATCGCATTTTACAGTACAGTAGTAGGCCTTGTTACAGCACTTTCAAACGCGAGTAGTACAATTGATAATAAAAAAAGAGACTAGAATAATAGCGATTAAATGACCTTTATGACCTAGTGAAAGTTCATAAGTCACATAAATACATTTTTTATCCCTATTGCAAGGCCTAATATAAGCCAGTCTGCCGTCACCAAACGGGCATAGGTAAAGCTATACAGGTTCGTAACGCGACCCACACGAAAAGACTTCTGCAAGACTATTTTTATATGATCATCATTATCAACTCAGACATAGGAAGCCCACTTCTGGACACTGCATACTGATTCTGGACACTGATTTCCAAGAAGATTAGACTTCATTTTATTAATAGCTGTTAATTATTGTCTACAGGTTGTTTCCAGATATTACATAATACGACTTTTGTAATTTCTAGGTCTGCATCCAAGATTCCCTGATTTCCTTGTTGCCTGGTGAGAACAGCATCATTGGCCGTACTCTGGTAGTACACGCGGATCCAGACGATATGGGCATTGGAGGCCACGAGCTGAGCAAGACTACTGGAAACGCTGGCGCCCGTATTGGCTGCGGTGTCATCGGTCTCGCCAAATCTTAAAAACCGACTGTAATGTCTTGTAGTTACTTGTTACTAGCTTGCCAATACTAGGTATTGAGATTCACTGCATTTGTATTTGACACGCACGGTAAAATTAATTCTGTTAGCTGGAAAAAAAAACATGATATTCTTTATAAGGCAAAGTACATATGTCTATCAGAACTCTTTAATTGACACTCCATGTATGAGTTGTCTATGACTTATGCAGGTTCTGTCAGAATTATAAGGCAAGCGTAACATTTTGTTAAAGCAAGCAATATCCTGTCATGTATTTAACAAGTAATGTTGCCACAGATGTATTTGTAGCAACAATTCTGGCGTATTTAATATTAAACTTTAGCTTTATGGCCATACATCTCAGTGAACTGACATGATCGATGTATTATTTTTTTTTGTTTTTGGTGCAAGGCATGTGATGTCATCAGTACTCATTTGTTTCAATAAAATCTATATTCAAATTTTATCTTTGTTTAAACAATAAAACAATTTTACCTCATAAAGAAAACTCTCATGCCATAGTCATCCTAGGTCTTTAGTTCAGATGTTACCGAAGCATATTCATTGAAAACCCCAAGTGTGCTAATCATCATATTAAAAGAGAATAAACATCAGGCTCATCTTAAGTTGGTTATGCTTCCCCACGCACTGTGTCCCTGTCAGCTAAATGCTAACCAATACTTGATTGAGTGCAAACAGGACCCTGTAGTTGTATTAGTGTGTTGTAGTAGTTGTAGATGATCTAAGATAATATTTTCGGACGCCAACAAACAACGCCATCTAGTTTCAAACTACGCAAAACTTTTACTATGAAAACATGATTGATTGATAGAATACTAATATACTTTTTTTTTAATACATACAAATTATACATAGAAAACATCCAAACTCCTATGACGAGAGAAGCTTGGTATCACAATTTTTTACGGTGTGGCCCCTCCACAATTAAAAAAAGATCACCTGAGAGGTCACCTGATAGTAACTACCGCCCACGGAACTACGTAACCCATGAACACCTAAAACTCAATGAGTCACCAGTGTATTGCTGCTCTTTGAGTCCAAGAATCAGGGCGAGGAGGGATTTGGGGAGCAAACCCTACTTCACCATCTCCACCTGGGTAAAGCTCGGAGACCGTATATGTTCCCGTGTAACAAAACTATCTGCAAAAATCTTTAGGTTAGTTGGAAGTTTTGCCAGATTTTCAAAATAAAGTATATTTTGAAAGCTATCTAACTAAAAAGGTCCTGTTCCTATACAATTATTGCGCCTACTAAATGTTTGTCACAGTTAAATTTTATTAATACCTTAAACTATCCGTTCATCCCGTGGGTGTTGTAAGAGCCGACTAAGCGAGCAAACTACGCAGGACAACATCACTGCAAAGAGAAGGAAATCTTGAAACAAAGCCTAACCAACCCGTCTTGACAGTCTGGTATAGTAGGCCAAGACCTCCCTTCTAAGGAGAGGACTATGGCCAGCAGTGGACTGTTAAAGGCTGTTGATGGAATACATCAAAATTTTGCACAATAGAAAGAAATCTAAGGAAGTTAATACTACTACACACTCACATAGAGAGAGACACGCTCACAAATACACATTCAACATGCACACAATCCACATATATGTAGATACCCTACACATTCTGTATACAATAGGTTTACTAAATAGTTTTCCTAATTAACCCTATCTCTACTTAATATTTAAATAATGTAAGCAGGTCTACTTTCTTATTGTAACCAGAAGTTTTATTTATTTTAGCTGTGAAACTGGAAGGTAGCTGGTACTTATAGCACAGGATATCCTTTAAGTACCAGCAGAACACTAGAATTAAGATTTTTTGGACCTCTATTGAGAATCCTACTACTATGTAGGTACCTACTTGTATATTGTGCCAATAAAGAAATATGTTATATATTATTATTATATAATTGTTATGTAATGCATTTATGCTAACATTGAGGATTATATTTTCATTTTAGATAATTGCAATGAGTAACATTACAAAGAGTCCTGGTTGGTTTCTTTTATAGTCTGCTTCGATTGTTGCTTCTTTAGGATGTTATTATTTGCACATGAGACAAAATAAGAAAAGTATAAACATTTCCTTTTAAAAAAAAAATTGGTTGCCTGTAAAGTCGGTATACGGGCGAAAGTTTTACGTGACAACGACTATGTCTGTCTCTTTCGCTCTTAGGCGGGCTAACCATGCCCGATTGGAAGGGACGCGTGCCTCTCACTCGCTCTCATTGTGAGCGCATAACGTGAGCGGAGCGTAACGCAGTTTCTTGAAGTGTCACCCGGCAAACCAATTTATAAGACGTTGTCACGTCAAAAAGTTGAACCGACTTCAAAAAATACTAACAAAGAGCACTAAAAACCTATCAGCTTGCTGTCATTTTCTTTAGGAGTTCCGTTGTCTGTCTCTAAAACTCATCATCAGATCTATATAAAATTTAAATGGGACCATAACGGAATAAACCCGTTTAAAGAAAAAAAGAATTTCCAAAATCTGTCTATATATGAACCAGTTATGCCTGAACATACTTAAAAAAATAATATAAACATCCAAATTGATAACCTCCTCTTTTTGAAGTCAGGAACAGGAAAATAATGGACTCTAACTGAACACGAAGAAATAACAATTCAATAGTGTTATGAATACTTTAATTGTCCAATACAATGCACAACATGATTTTGGTGAGTAAAAAATACATTGCAAGAAGAATCCTGAGCCTGAAACATATTAGGACTACTGGTGTTCCACTGCCACGGACTGTTCTCATCACTCTGCACACTAATCGCCGACCAGTAATGGTCTGTCTCTCTAGACATTACATAGGCATTTAATTTTTCACTTATTTTAGTAACTAATGACATTGGTATAAAACCTTTTACAATATAAAGAGATATTCTAGTTGTTTTTAAGGAATTTTCACTTTCTGGTTGACTATAAGAGCTGATGTAACCTTCCGTTGGACTAAGGTCTGTCTGATGTGCCAACATTCCAATCCATTCTGTTATTTCTTGTGGATCTAAATCTTTTACTGAAGGCGCTTCAGTGATTTTTGGTGATATGTTCTTTACATCCAAGGAATGAACTGAAATTTTGATACCTCTTGCATGAAAGTACGTTACCACTGAGGATGAACAAGGTTTTTCGTTCTGTGGTTCCCATATTAAGTAAATATCAAATAATTCTAATTTGCTTAAGCCTATTTTAACTTTTTCAAGCCTTTTTATAGATTTTAGATCAATTTTGACTTCATAATAACCATATGGTCTCTTTTTACCTTCAAAACCCAGTGTTTGATATACGTGTTCAAGAACATGTAAGATAAGCACACCGTCTGGAGTCACAGCGGCACAGTTTTGTATAATACAGTTTCTACTTGCAGATAAACAAAACAATTTACCGGCTTTTACGAAACTTTCAATAAAGGCAGGCTCTACGAACTCTGTTAGTGAAAATGAAGATAATTTGTAATAATCGCTGTTTTCTGTAACAATTTCTTTAATGAAACTCGGCGTATGTATTTCATCAGGACACGTTACTATTACACTCTTATAAAACCAGTTGAGGTTTAATGTGTTTTTCACGGATTCCAAGTCTTGGTTATGCTTCTTTGATTCAATAACTTTTGGCGGGGGAAAGTTCCACACTTCTGGACACAGCATGTTGCAAGTTTTCGAGTTTTTATATATTTCAAAGTACTTAATTACACGATACACGATAAAATAAATTACAGTAGCAATGAATATGAATGTAAGAAAATAATATAAACATAACCTCTCTAGTTCCTATTTGTCAATTTGACATGTCTATCATTAACAGTGTTTCCACTTTAATGATTTCTTTTCCCCACGCCTCAATTCAAATTTCCCCTTCTCGGGGCTTTTTTCCCCTCAAAAATTTTTCTGCTGTAGTTTTTACTTTTGGCTAATTAAAAAAAGTTAAAGGCCTTTATCGATTTTCTTCTATAGCCCCACGCGTCTGGTGATACTATACTATGAAATCTATAAAACTTGGGCTGTTCACCTCTTATTCCAAGTTAGTTTACGCAATCAGCACATACATTTTAGCACAGAATAATATTTGACCTTAAACAGAATGGAAATAAGGGTAAGTATACGCCACCTGCACGTGTTGTCACTGTTTTATACGGCAACACGCTAGTCCACGGTAGAGTCCATAAAAAAATAGTTCCGAAATTTACCTCAATATTTTAAGCTAGGTTTTACCCATGATTTTCCTCAATTTCCCCTTTTAATGTCTTACCCTTTTTCTCACCCTATGGACCCTAATTTCCCCTTAAATGGGGAATTTCCCCTCATTGTGGAAACACTAATCATTAATAATCATGATTATATAATGTCAAAATTGTCAAAAAGTCAATTTCTAGCTAGTCCAAATTCAGCTTGACAAAAATATCGAGTATAAGTTTGTTCACTGAGTTTTTATTTTCTTAATTATTTGATAAAATCTACATTAACTCAATGAAAACCTAGTAATCATTTTTTTTTATCGGTGTATTTTGTAGCAAAAACTAAACTAACTTAATTTAAACATAATATAAAAAAAAGCCGTGTGGTGTCGTGGGACACCCGATAGGAACGAAGTTGTGACGATCGAGTAAAACTGATTTGACACGATTTTAATTACAACGCCATTTATGAAAGCGGCTATTACCTACATATTAAAAACAATTAAAACAATTTATACATTGGTAAAATCTCCTTGCGAAATGATTTCCTATCTATTCGATAGATGGCGCTGAATGTCTGACAAGATGACACGAAAATAAAGAGCAAAAAGCCAACATCATTGGTATTCCCAGGCGGTCACCCATCCAAGTACTAACCACGCCCGATGTTGCTTAACTTCGGTGATAGGACGAGAACCGGTGTATTCAACATGGTATGGACGTTGGCGAACGTTAAAGCAAATTTAATGTATGGTATCCACAGTTAGACGTCAATTTATATTAAAAAAGTGTCGTTCCAAATTTTCGTACCAATTTTTTCCGTCTAGCCCCCTTTCACAACGCGCGATAAGGAACTTCGTTCCAATACTTAAACAATACAATATATGCTATGAATTCGTCGATGTCTTCCAAAATGGTAGTTTGAGCAGTGAATTAACAGTAGCCGCTAAACCGTTTGATTACCAAATTCATCTAACATAGAGTCTTCTTTAGAACAGGATTGATCATAAATCATATTGATGGATAGAGATATATTTTAATTTATTTAAATATGAAAAACAGTATGAAAAAGTTACATGAAACACCCACAAAACACGTATTGATTTATCTTGGGTGTGAGTGCACATTCCTCATGCCTTTCTGTTTCGTTTAAATATCTACATTGATGATAATAACAAGCACTTTTATAAAAAAATCGCTGGTAGCACTACAATAAAATAATAATAGGTGCAGGATAGGTAGGCGTAGAATTCTTTCAAGCGTTTAACGGTTAAACGGTGTGGTTGTTAACGTTCGATGTTTTTGACTATTCGTTTTAAGTTAAGTCATTCTTTTTTCTAATGGTAGTTTACTTATACTCGTAAGTCTTGGTAAGTAAGTCACTATAATCACTATAAGAATATAGTATATAATAGTCACTATAAGACAATATACTTAGAGTTCGCTTGCCGTAATGGTTAGCATTTTATTTATTTACCATTTGACGTATCATAATTAGGTGTTTTATTAGTTTATTATTCAATTTAAAATTGTTTTCTGTAGTAATTTACAAAATTGCAAATAGTTTTTCTTCATCATAAATAAATTAACCAAAACAATAGATTTAACCAAACGAAGTTGTAAGGAATATATTTTATGCAAATAAAGGATGTCGCAGTAATTGACAATTTACTGAGACACCTTTATTTGTATTTTAAAATAAAAACACGTATTTAATGAAAGAGTTGTGATATTTTTATTGGATTGTAAAAAAGACAAGTTCCGATTAAGGATGGAATAAAATATCCGGTAAATGGCCCTCCACGGCTCTGATGACAGGCCATTACTGTTTTCATTAAATATTCCATTACTTTTACACAGAGATTTGGCTGTATCTCACAGATGGCGCGTTTTACTCTGATTTGAGCTCAGGAATTGTTTGTGGTTTATTCGCATAAATCCGAGATTTCACAAAATCCCAAATTTGACAATTTTGTGTTCACGTAGCCGTTCAGATAGAAAAGCGCTTCATCGGAGATGACTTTTTTCGAAAAATTGGCACCGACTTCACTTTGCTCTGTTACCCATTGCACGAATTGCTGGCGCATTCCATGGTCTGCTGCTTTGAGCTCCTGAGTTAGCTGAATCTTGTACGCATGAAGGTGGAGGTCTTTTGTCAAAATTCGATGCGTAGTGCTTCGTGAAATTTGAACTTGTAGAGAACGGTTCCAAATTGATGTTTCCGGGTTTTCGGCGATACTCTCGTTTACAGCAACAATGTTTTCAAGAGACTGACTGGTCCGTTGACGCAAAGGATTCTTAATATCCATAATCGACCCAGATTCTTGAAATTTTTAGAGCACTCTTTGAATGGTTGACACATTAGGTGCATTAGTTTTTTATTTTCTTTGATAACATCAGAAGTTCATCGTGGTGTGGTGACGGATTAAGAATACAAATTGTCACCACCCCAATTCATCCCGTGGGTGTCGTAAGAGCCGACTAAGGGAGCAAACTAAGCAGGATAACAGCACTGCAAAAAGAAGGAAAACTTGAAACAAACCCTATACCAACCCGTCTGGCCAGTGTGGTATAGTAGGCCAAAACCTCCTTTCTAAGGAGAGGCCTATGTCCAGCAGTGGACTAGTATAGGCTGTTGATGTGATGTGAGAAGTTCATCTGCCACTTCTTCTCTAAACAATGTTAATATATTTTCGTTCATTTTGCTCCGAGTACAATTACGATTCACGATCACAATCACGACTACAAGACGCTAGCGCTCGCGTCCAGAGAACCAACCAACACGGTGCACGGCCTATGGCCTAAAGCCGGGGTCTCTGAATGTCGGTCACGTGTGACCGATGACCGACGCGTACGAATGCTATGTATGCAAAAGCTCAGCGTTGGGTTCTAAGAAACGTCGTCGCAGAAAATAGATATTTATTTATTTATTGGTTTTCAATAATATTAAATTGTTATAGTAATAATCATTATTGCAACTTGATAAATGATGTGGTGGCACATTTTTATTTAATCTATTAAAAAATCAATTCTTTATATTGTTTTCTTGATTGTAACTGGTGTAATGCAAAAACAAAAAAATAACGTTAATATCGGATGTTTAATGCATGAATTAAAAGGCTTTTTTATTTATTTTAATTCATTTTATTATTTATATCAACTTCACTCCATTATTTGGCCTGGGTAGAAATCGTACCCACGACCTCACGCTCAGCAGTCAAGATCACTGGCCAATAGATATTGTAACGTGGTGGAGGATGTCCACATTTGGTCATGGTTTGTGTCGGGAACAAAAAAAAAAGAAATGCCAATCAATTAATTTAAGTAGTGTTATTACAAACATTTTTGGCACAACCAAAATCAGAAGTGACCAAAAGATATTTTTTTAAACTGGTAAGACACACTTGTAACATTTTTTATTAATTATATGAGTAAAACATTACAAAATTCCAAATTGTGGTCTTTAAGCCTCCGGTACTTTTTCCTTCCCTAAATTAAAGGAAAGCACCTATATAGGCAGTAGACGATGCTTTCAAAACAGAGTATTATTACCATATTTTGGGCTAAAAACGAAAATAAACCAATCGCAAGGCCGAAAGCGGTCGCCGTCGAGAGCAAGTTGGTTTGAAATATACTTGCAAAATACACCTTGGTACTTACTGATACCACTGACATCCATATCATGTTAATTAATATTTTGGGTGTAAAAATAAATACAAGGTACACATTAACTAAAACATTTAATATGTCTTTCAATAAAAACTATAAAAAGTTACAATTTTACTAAGAAAATTGAAGTATTACAACCAAACGTGATTCACATTGGTGTCTCTTTGCATTTCATCATTCTTCTTAGGCAAACCAGCTGCCGGAATCCTTTAGTTAATTTCAAGTTGATCAGCAGGAACAGCTAAATACAAAGCTTCAACGGATTCCACCACACGAGCGACGATAGCGTGGACGATCGGCGGTGATATTTCACGCATAACCTCTCTCCAGCTTGAATTAACGAAATCTTCAACTGGCTTAGCTGGAATTAAAACGAAAATTCGAATTAGTTTTTCGACAAGAAAATGTTTTTTTCGGTTCCTAGATAGAAAACTTGAGTAAATCATCTTTCCTCTCGTTTTCCAACATTATGTGTAAGTAATTTCTTAAAAAGGAAGGGAGGATTAATAGGAAGCGGGTCAGGGAAGCGGTGCTAGAGTTGGCCGTCAAATGGTGGGTGACATGTTACACATAAATGCGACTACCGTAAGTGTCGGTGGTTTATTCATATTTCACTTTATGGTAAACTGCAAGTAGTGTTAAACATAATTATTATTTACATTATCCCCTAGATCTGTGACAGGAGTAGTGAAAAATTATCACACAAAGTGTCATCCCATGCGGGGCTTGAACCCACAACACTCGGCGTAGTAAGAAGCGGCGTGGCGACCGCTTAAACAACTACGCCATCCGTGCGTTTTGTAAATACTATGTATCAACTGTTCTTTTTTAGTATAAATTTATCATTTTTTGTAGTTGACTGTAATACTGCTGCTCTAAGTGTAAACATATCTATAAGAAATATTTTCGTAGCTAAGCATTTTTCTAGTTTTAAAATAAAGGGTGCCTGCCAACGTTGCCACATACAGTGAAACAAAAACATAGTTCAGTGCCATATCACGAAGACACACCGAACTACGGTAAAACTGCTAATCCTGTATTGCGATATGAAAAGTTCTCACACCGATTAGCACATAATACGACTTCCCAACATCAACCGTAGGACAATCAACTCGCAAGTTCCGAGGATCCCTTCTTTGTGAAGGAGAGACATGACACTCGTTCCTCCACTGCCGCAGTAGTAGGTTTGTACCGAAAGAACATCATTACTGACAAGAATACACTTTTAGAACAAGCACTTAGCTTAGTCGGTAGGAATAACTAGAATGCTTGGCAGAAATTTAAAAACTTACATAAAATTTTGTTTCCGTTGAACAAGTTGTCAAATTGAAACTGTACATGGGTTTTGACATCGCTAGCGAAGTGCCAGTCTGCCACGTGCCAATGTTTCTTGCCCTCAGCGCCATCTACCATCGCAATGGTAGTCGTCGCCTTGATCACTATGTCTCCTGAGGGAATAATAATAGATTTAATATTGGTTTCTTACTTTTATAATACATTTTCTGCTTTGAGAGTAGTTTTAATGTAAAAATGTTGATTGTTTTTTCATGTACATTACGAGTTAAGAAGTTATTTTTATAAGTTTATAGAAAGAAAGAAAAAATAAAGAAAAACATTAATTCTGGAATGCACATGACAGCACAAAATTGTTACAATGAAATAAAAATGCCAAGATAAAAAAAAAAACGGAAATTTTATATTTTTATTTTATACTAATAACAACTTTCTGAAACAAATGAAGTCAAGTGAGTGAAATGTTCCCTTTTTTTAAAGTTGATAGGGGTTTTCACTGACGCGGTGTTTATAGCGTTACCGACGCCGCGTTACGTGACTCGTGTCAGTGACGCCTCGGTGACTTTGGATGGCAACGACAGACGTCAACCAGTCTCGACCACCACATCTCGATAATTCTTAAAATCAGGTATTTCATTATGGATCTATTTAAACTGATTATAGAAGAGGAAGAAAATGATGAGCTCTTGCTTCGATGTTCCTCGTCCGATTGTTTGAAACTATATCTTGTCTTCCTTTAGCTTATTTTTCTAGCATTAGCTAGCTAGCTTATAAATCAATGAATGCCGAAACACCGGTGTAATTATTTTTTCATGTTTTTCTTCTGTTAACGTGTCAATACATGGCATTTTACAGAAATTAACCTCGGCAGTGACGCTGACGTCAAACGTCACAGTTACAGCGACACTGACGCGGCGTAAGTATCGCTGCGCCCGAACGTCTTTCCCTACATTTACATAGTGCATTAATTACTACCTTAACTTTGAAAATAAGGAACTTCTACACAACTGTTAGCCAAATGTCATGTATATTATTCGGTGATACCTTTACTTACCTTTAGAAACACGATTAGAAATAATGACGCAGGCAATATCTAATTAAATAATATGAATTCTTAAAATAAATATATTCATACAATTAGAGAACAATACTTACGGATGTTGATCTTGTACTTCCCGTTGCCCGTGATGGGGAAAACTAACAATTGTCCAGAGAGGTCATAATCACCATTCAACTCCACATCGCATCTGATTATCATTGTTTGTTTGCCTTTCTTCAAGGAGTGTCTGAAAATAACAAAAAAAATCGGTTGTCTGTAAAGTCCGTTTACTGACGATAGTTGAACGTGACAACGTCATAAGAAAATACTGATGGAATGGTTGCATTTTACGAAAACATGTAAATGTATTATTGTATAGGAGCTGTCGACGCGGACGCATCGCTCACTCAAGTAGGAGAGAGACAGATGTCAAACGCTGACGAAGGCCGATTGTGCCTCTTTGTCGCTCGTTCCGCGCTCTCGCTTGCTCTTCAAGCCTTAAATGGAACGCCTCAGAGCGAAGTAACGCCGCATGAGTCATGTTTTTTCGAGCGTGCAGCCGGCTCCATCGAATTATAAGACGTTGTCACGTCAAAATAGGTTTATTTGCAAACAGTATTAGACATGATGACATGACACTCGAATCGAAGCAGGCCAAAACCTCCTTTCTGAGGAGAGGAATATGTCCAGCAGTGGACCATTAAATGAGAAGTTTGGTTTTCTTATGGTCATGAGTATCGATTAACGCTTACAGTGTCGTCTTTTTTATGATATAATGAGCAAACGAGCAGTCGGGGTCTCCTTACGGTAAGTGATCATCACCAACCATGGTGTGTTGGCGGCCTTTGTTGTGGGAATACGTACGCTCTAGGTTCGAAAATATAGGCTCGCGACAATTTGTCTGCTTGTTATGAACAAAATCAGGTTTTCATCATCAGCCTATCGCAGTCCACTGCTGGACATAGGCCTCTCCCATTGCACGCCACTTAGATCGATTTTGGGCTTCTTGCATCCAGCTCCTGCCAGCCATCTTGCGCAAATCGTCACTCCACCTGGCCTGTGGGCGTCCTACACTACGTTTGCCGAGACGCGGTCTCCACTCAAGAACTCGTTTTCTCCAACGGTTATCGGTTCTGCGGCTAATATGGCCAGCCCACTGCCGGTACGCTATGTCGGTGACCTTGGTTCTCTGCCGGATCACCAAGATCTTGATCTTGATCCGGATCTTGGCTGGTCCACAAGTTCAAAGTCGCTCAACGTGCTATGGAAAGGGCTATGCTCGGCGTTTCTCTAAGGGATCGCATCAGAAATCAGGTTTACATACCTATAAATGTATTGTATTATGGTTTTTATGTCGTACGTTTAAAATGAGTAGGCTACATCTTAAAATCATTTAGAAATATTAGAATAAACATGTTTGCTGTCAAAAGTGCGTGATAACAACGTGATATATTTTTAAACATTTGGTGTTTAGACAAAAATGTATAACGTTACATCTTTTGATTAAGTAGACTTGGTTTTTTGATTATTTCACGGCTTCAAGGAGTCACAGTCTTAAATATTTTATGTTGATTTCAACTTCATGTGTCTTACAGCATCCAAAGTGATTAATCAACGGAACCCTAAAAAGCATATTTTAGTCAGATTTATAAAAAAATATTATACTCCTACGATTAGGGTTCCTGTCCATCTTAAGGTTGGTAGACCACGATTGCTCTAACCAATAAAGCCGCCTTAATATTGCTGTACATTTTGTGTTTTATAATCTCTCTAAAAACCTTGGTATACAAATAAAGTATTATCTATATCTAATAATCTAGATCTTAATTATTCTAATAATTCGATTAAATACAATAAACCTTTGTCGACTCCTAACTCTCGCAATGAATGTTTACTGACGTGTAGATACCTTATTACGATGTTGTTACAAGGTGTTATGTTGTGCGTGACACAATATTGATATAGTTATGGAAAATTTTAAGCGGAAAACGGTTTTTTAACTAGCTATTAGTTAAACGGTTGGTTTAGCTTTGTTCTTGAGTACTTTAGCACTGGTTTGTTGTACTTATGTTCGCTTGACTCATTGAGAAGATATTTTCCCAGAAAAGGTGTTTGTTGTTAAAAAAAACTTTTATAATGACTTAATACCTTTATTTATCCATATTTTGGGTTAATATCCGAACTTCAAGCTCCGTAATTCCTATTTTCGATAATTTACATTTTCTAAACTACAAGAAATCTAGTAATTTTTCTCGCGTATCTCGTCGTACATATTATAACAGAGTTTGATATTATGATTAAAGTAGCTGTGAAGTGCAAGTAAAGTATAACAAATAATGGTGATCATCGCTTACTTAGATAACTAAGTAAGCGATGATCACCATTATAAATGCACGATCAATTATGCATTATCAAGTGCATATAAATGCACTTTATTAAACTTCTTTTTGTGAACAATTTCCTTTTCTTCCAAAGGAAATCTTCTTCCAGAAAGAAAAAGGAAATCTTGAATATTTTTTTTACACGTACTATTCGTACTTAATATTTGTTTATTTTATATTTTTTTATTGAAATTTTCCACATTCATTTTCTCCTGGTGCACCTAAGGGTGGTGTTGAAGTAATTGATTAGATGCACTAGATCTAAGTGGGTAAAAAAAGAATTGCTTAACAAGTTAGTAAGAAACAAGGAGACATAATTAATAGGTACATATACATTCATACATATGTAATCAAATACATTAGGTATAGAGATCAGAGATAAAATGACTGTGGCTTACAACTGTATGTACATAAACGTGACCTATATAAAAATATAGGTGACAAATAAAACTTGATCTTAAAGTTACATAGAAATATTTACATACGATGCGTTGGTACCTACCCATCGTAAGGTATATATAATAAACGGCTCAAGGCCATTTAAGTGTATAAGCACCCTATGCCGAAGTTAAGCGACCGAAGTTCAGCGTGCTGTTTGAATTACTTACGATACATTTGCCAAAACTACGTCGCGTTAAAGTGCAGTTGAACTTCGGTCGGGCGTAAGTTCGGCGACGACGTATTTTAAAAAGCAATACATATTACGTGACGGAAGTTCGGTTCGATAGCCGAGGGTAAGCAGGAAGGAATAATATAACTTCGTTTTCATCTGTTTTGGACAACACTACACGAGACCACGATAGCGTTCCAGACACTAAATTTGCGCAACTGAATTTCTGTCGTATAATTTGTTATAAATGTGTCGGTCTCCGCGCTTATGGTGTGTCATAGCAGCCAAATACGTCGGAACGTAAAGTCAGACGCTGAACTTCGGTCGCGTACCTTCGGCATAGTGTGTTTAAACACTAAGGAGTAGGAAAACATTTATATAACAAATAATCAGATTATATCGAGATCAGAGTTACAGATATATATCCTGAGGCTCTAACCTGATTAATAAAAAATGCTAAAGGTGTTATATTTTCTAGTCTTCTGAATGTCATTTACGGCGGTCAAAATCGGAACAATCAGACAAAATAATCCCAAATTCCCAATTCTTGAGTCTTGCTTAGGTACATACCGGCTAGGTTCGTTCGGAGTGATACCAGGGCCTCACAGAAACCCAGTGTTAAAGAGTTCTTTTGTAGCTTTTCAACGAATGAGATACGTTACAGAAGCCCAAAAAATTCATCTCCATCTTATTTTATCCAATATTATTTATCTTTTCCTCCAATATGGTCGAAAAACAAATTCAATTTTTAACTTTCGTATAGTCTAACGTCATGTTTTGACTTAATTATCTATACTAATATTATAAAGCTGAAGAGTTTGTTTGTTTGTTTGAACGCGCTAATCTCAGGAACTACTGGTCCGATTTAAAAATTTCTTTCAGTGTTAGATAGCCCATTTATCGAGGAAGGCTAAAGGCTATATATCATCACGCTAAGAGCAATAGGAGCGGAGCACCAATGAAGAATGTTTCAAAAACGGAGAAAATTTATTACTATTGAGAGACGCAGACGAAGTTGCACGGGTCAGCTAGTTATATATAAAATTCGTATTGTAAATCTTAAAGGCAGGCTATTTCTAGGGAAGCGCTTTTCAAATTCCACGCGAACCAAGTCACGGGCACCATACTAGCTGTATATAAATAAAATCAAAGTTGGTATGTTTGTAATCTATGCAACCCGAATTATTGATCATGATTGTGACGAAACTTTGGAAAGGTTGGTTAAAATTTGGTTTTTATACTTTACGCTGCATTGTAAAGCATGGTTACAGTCTGGTACTATATCAGTTTCTTTTTTTTTTCTCTTTATTTACGGAGCTTAGCCACAATGATGACTTCGTCGCTCCATCATAGCCATTTTTTGTTTTAAACTTAACTTAAATATTGAAAATACAAAGTATAAATGTCATTAGCTGTATCTGTCAAAGGACTGGCCAGGATGCTGTTACATCTTCCAATGTCCATCAACTTATCATTAAGCAGACGTTCTCTCAGTTGTTGGTTCCGAACATATTCCATCAAAACATATTCTACGTCCTCTACCACACCACAGATTTCACAATTTGGCGTAGATGATAAACCCATTAAAAAGGTGAACTTTCTGGATGGGATGTGTCCGGAGCGTAACCTCATAGCCGTTATCAATTTGTCTACTCAAAGAACAGTTATCAATCCAAGGGATAGCCAGCGGTTCAGGTTGTATAGTTAAACACTCATACGGTGCAATGTCAGATAAATCCTCCGCATTCCTGTCATTTAGTTTCATACCATTGAGATTATTACCATATATAAAATGTTAAGAATTCTGATGCAGGAGTTAACCATTTTGATAATATTTGATTAATTAATTTGATAAATAATTAACTATACGTATAAGATATGTAATTTGTAGAAAATCATAGAATTTCTTAATATTAGTGAATTATACTTTGATACTACTTTTATTTTATTATTTATTAATTATACTATACCAATCCGTCTGGCCAGCGTGGTATAGTAGACCAAAACCTCCTTTCTAAGGAGCTTATGTCCAGCAGTGGACTGTTAAAGGCTGTTGATGATACTTTGACGAGTTCAAAAATTTAAAAAGAGAATCGGTTCCAAGAAATATTGATTTCAAATAATTTTTACTCTGTGGAGTGTTTTAAGAAAAAAATGTGACTTTTGTCAACTAATGAAATTTTAGAGTAATAGAAATATAAAACATGAAATTATTGTCTGTTTTAAAAGCAATGGGAAGACTGAATAAGACACCGT